CTCACGAGAAGGAACCGGCGCTGTTGATGGCTCCCTTCTCTCCGGGAGTGCCGTGCTCTGACACTACGATGCCGTTAGCAGTCTCCATGTCGAAGTTGTACCTTCCGTCGTCCTCGATAACGCGATCGTCCCTCAAGATGGCGATCTCCTCGCTGGAGGCGTAGCGAGGCGGGGGAGCGCCATATCCCTGTGTGTCTGCGGCGACCACAGCGGCCAGAGCGGCGAGGATCAGCTGGAAAGCATTTATCTTGTCACTGAGAGGATAATATACGTTACGAAATAGTCACCATACATTTCCCACGCCTTTGTCCTTCGTTAAATACAGAATATGTGACGCCATGAGAATACTCACGAACTTCATGTTGGCTGTCAGATACTGCTGCCTCTCATGCAGATGTTAGCGCTTATATTCTGCTATGAGAAATGCATGCAGTTGCCAGTTCATTTCTTCCAATCGTCTGTGAATGACCGTGTGTGTGCCCTTGAACTTTAAGATAATTTTCCCTTCTACAGAACATTTTCTTATCTTCCTTTTTTATGTTTATTACATGACCTGAACTGAATCTCTGTAAGTAGAGTATTTGCCCCCACACGCACAAGAACTTGTCCACGGTAGCACATGAGACATACATCCGTACGTGTGTTCCCCACAGTAATGTACACACACACACACGCCATATGATTACATATGTGTGTATGTATATATATATGTGTATCTGCTATATATATGCGTACGTGTGTGTGTGTGTGAATATCCATGCTTATATATATATATATATTTACATATGTTTATATATTTACATATGTTTATATATATTCGTTATATATATATTTACATATGTTTATATATGCGTATATATATTCACATATGTTTATTTATATATATATATATATATATATATATATATATATATATATATATATATATATATATATTTACATATATGTATATATATATTTACAAGTCTCTATCTACATATTTACACATATGTATATAGGTACATGTATAAATGCATATCTATATCTGTTTATCTTTCTATCTTATATATACACATATGTACATGTGTGTTGTGTATGAATATATCGCTACATACATATTACGGATTTGCATGTATACATATATCATATATATGTATATAGATTTTGTATATGTACATGTACACATACATACATACATGTGTTATATACATATGCATTCGTATACTTGTCTGTATATATATGCATAGTCATTTGTATATCTATATATATATCAATAAATATATACAGATATATAAATGAAATCTCTCTATATCTATGTATAATATATACGTGTGTGTGTGTGTGCGTATCCTTTCATGTATGTATGTATAGCTATATCTATATATACATTTATATGCATATATATGTATATTTTCATTTTTATATAGATAGCTAGTTATAGCTCGATGATTAGGTGAACACAGACAAACATACACAAATATATATATATATATATATATATATATATATATATATATATATATATATATACACCATATATATATATATGTATATATATAGGTGTGTGTATAATGAATATATATATACATACATATGTACTATGGGTGTCGTGAGGCATGTATGCACTTTGTATCTGTTTACTCATTTAAGATGTTCCTCTACACATGCAACTGTCATGGACACTGATAAGTTGCAATAGAACTTCCTCTCTCTGTGGGAAAAATGACAGCAGTAATAATCATTGTTATCATTGTAATTATTTCACTATTATTTCTGTTGTTCTTTTCGTTGCCGTTATGACAACAATTGTAAAGATGAGAAATAAAATAACAAGAGTGATTATTATACATCATACATGTACTTATTTCATTTTATGTACTCAAATCATTATATTCATCCTTTACATTCGGTTTCTTTAGGCGATCAATTTCATAGGAAGAAAATATACAATCAAGGAAATACATATTTATCTGTTGTAACCTATGACAATCATAAACTAATCATCAAAGGAAGGTCTCTGGGAATTACGGGCGTCCTCCTCTACAGCCTCTGAGCTATGATCAAGGACGAACCAAGGCAGTGGGCAGGGGAACTCGAGAGCCACTGGCAGATGGGAGGCCTGAGACTGGAAGCCGGCAATTTAATCTATACAGATGATACTTTCAATATTTTGATAGTTCTTCCATGAAATAAATAAGCATGACCTCCAATTAAGTAATTGGCTATTTAGAAGTCTCATCTGTTACCTAAAGGTTTTTCTTCTTTCATCTCTTTATCTATGTATTTATCTATCTTTCTTCTAGGGAAACACAACCACGTCAAAAGGTATCAAACTACACGAAAGTTCTATTGTATAAATGAAAACACTTGTATGACTTGATATTTAATTATCAAACAATAAATAGACACTAGATATTTATGTACAAGGTCACGTCGGATTTCATTCGTTTCTTCTAATCTAACGATATCTAATCACTGGTAACCACCGGAGGGCCTCTTGGCGTTACGGGCGTCCTCCTCGGCAGCGAAGGCGATCTGCTCGAGGACGAAGTCGGGGATTGGGTGGGGGAACTCGGGGGCCACTGGCAGATGGGCGCCCTGAGGCTGGAAGCCGTTCCCGTCAGCAACGTACTGGAGGTGGACGTCAGTGCCATCAGGAGCGGTGTATCTGTGGAAAAGAAAAGAAAAAACGTTAAATAGAGTCAAACATTTAGAAGCACTGTAAATATTCTCCAATTCGCTGTAGGTTCTCAGGACAAGTTCAACTCACGAGAAGGATCCGGCGCTGTTGACGGCTCCCTTCTCTCCGGGAGTGCCGTGCTCTGTAAACACGATGCCGTTGGCAGTCTCCATGTCGAAGTTGTACCTTCCGTCGTCCTCGATCACGCGCTCGTCCTTCAAGATGGCGATCTCCTCGCTGGAGGCGTAACGAGGCGGAGGAGCGCCATATCCCTGTGTGTCTGCGGCGGCCACGGCGACCAGAGCGGCAAGGATCAACTACAAAACATAATTTGTCACATTACTCAGCTGAGCCTAGGCCGAGGATGTTAAACATTATAAGTCATTAACTAGTGTCGTAAACAGTTGAAATGTCAACCAAAGCGGCGAAAATCACCTAAAAGTAGTACCTTTGACTGTTCTCCCAACATGTATATATGCTCATACTAGCAGCCACCACCCCTTAATTATAGGATGAGAGAATGTTCCTCATAGTGTGCCATAGTGTCTGAACATATCCCTTAAAAATGTGTAGTTCCAGAATCCGCTATTTTACTCACAAACTTCATGATGACTGGTACTATGAGATGCACTGCCTCAGTCTCCCGTTCTCAGCCTACTTATAGTCCACCTGAGAAAGGTTCCAGTTGCCAATTCTGGTTTGTTTGTTTTTTTTTGTTTTTTTTACTTCCAATTTGAGAAACCCCGTCCATCGGAATGGTGCCTCTTCTCAGCGCCTGTTAATAATTTGATAATAATGTAATGATAAATGAATCATGATAAATAATCTAATTAACACCAGGTCTTTCCACACTCATTCCACCATACGATGCGTACACAAAGTTAAGATGTTCAACTAGGCACTCCACCAGTGCCGATCTCCAATTATTTCAATTTGCTCCCAATTACTAAATGGCTTTTTCGTGTCAAAGATATAGTCTCTAAGCAATGCACACTTTTTCAGAATTAGGTAAGTATACTTTCAATTACAAAGAAGATTGCAGTGATAGTAAATACATAGTTGCATTTATGACGGAACAGATGTTGCTAAAATGCAATGACTTTCATCATCTCTTCAAGGAAGAAAATTAGCTGTGACTCTCTTTGAAAACATAATACATGTTTTTTTATTTTATATTGCTAACGGTATTGTCAATAACCTTATAATTATAATAATCATCATGACATCATCAACATTAATAGATTAGAGAAAAAAACTAAAAAGGTTAACAGCCACTGATCTATGTGCATACAAAGTGAGATAGATATGTCTGCATACACATACTTGCATATGTATATTCATATCCACATAATAATCATCATGACAACATCATCATTAATAGATTAGAAAAAAAAGTATAGACTTATATATAAGTACATTATTACATATGTACTAAAGATTTGTGTAAATATATATATTCATATGTACTAAAGATTTGTGTAAATATATATATATGTGTATCAATATATATGTATATATAAATTGACTTTGCATATATACATACACACATATACATATATATACATAGTTATTTGTATATCTATATATATATTCATATATATGCGTATACATATGTGTGTTTATAACTTTATATATATATATATATATATATATATATACATATATATATATTCTATGGGCGTCGTGAGGCATTTATGCACTTTGTATCTGCTTGCTCACTTAGGTTGTTAAGGACACTGATCGATTGCATAACAGCAGTAATAATTGTTATCATTATTTCAATATCATTTCTGTTGTACTTTTCGTTGCTGTTATGACAACAATTGTGAAGATGAGTATTAAAATAATAGGAATGATTCATACACAACATGTATGTACTCATTCCCTACTAAGAAATTTTACGCATATTGTGGAAACCGTTATACGTATCCTTTATATTCGGTTGCTTTATGCGATTACCAGTTTTCATAGGAATGAATAATAAATCATATTGATTCAGAAGAAAAAGAAAATATACAGTCAAGGAAATACATATCTATCTATTGTAACCTATGACAATCAATCGAAGGTCTCTGGGATTAAGGACGAACCAAGGCATTAGGGTGGAGAACTCAGGAGCCACTGGCGGGTGGGAGGCCTATGGCTGGACTATATACATACTTTCAACATTTTGCTTGTTCTTCCACGAAAATAATAAGTATGACCTCCAAATAAGTAATTGGCTGTGTTCATTTAGAAGTCTAAAGTTTTTGTTTTCTTTCATATCTTTTTCTATGTAATTATCTCTCTTTCTTTCATAAGGTATCAGACTACACGATAATGTATAAATGAAAATAGTAGAATGACTTAATATTTAATAATCAAACAATAAATATACACTATAGATATTTATGTACAAGGTCATGTCGAATCCTATTCGTCTCTTCTAATCTCCTATTTAATCACTGGTAACCACCGGAGGGCCTCTTGGCGTTACGGGCGTCCTCCTCGGCGGCGAAGGCGATCTGGTCGAGGACGAACTGAGGGATGGGGTGGGGGAACTCGGGGGCCACTGGCAGATGGGCGCCCTGAGGCTGGAAGCCGTTCCCGTCAGCAACGTACTGAAGGTGGACGTCAGTGCCGTCAGGGGCGGTGTATCTGTGGAAAAGAAAAACGTTTAGTATTGTCAAACATTTAGAAGTACTGTATATACTCTCCCAGTAGATTCTCAGAAAATGAAAGAGGACAAGGTCAACTCACGAGAAGGATCCGGCACTGTTGACGGCTCCCTTCTCTCCGGGAGTGCCGTGCTCTGTAAACACGATGCCGTTGGCAGTCTCCATGTCGAAGTTATACCTTCCGTCGTCCTCGATCACGCGCTCGTCCCTCAAAATGGCGATCTCCTCGCTGGAGCCGTAACGAGGCGGGGGAGCACCGTATCCCTGCGTGTCGGCAGCGGCCACGGCGGCCAGAGCGGCGAGAATTAGCTGTAAATGAGTACTATTAGTTGACCTAATACCAATTGCAATTGCAATTCTGAACAAGCATCGAGAGTAAACCCTAAAACGTAAATTTGATAAGGTTCCTCATGCGTACAATTGATCTCTATGTGGTCATGTTCTGCATATTTCAGATGTTCCTTATATGGATAATGTCAAGGCAGTTAACAAGCGTTCAGCCTGGTACCCACAAACTTCATGTTGGTTAAGGCTGTATGATACT